GAGATCCTTAGTAGGAATTACCTGAAAGCAATAGATAAGCATTTTGGTATGTACATAGTTGGAAAACAAACCTGTCCTCGCTCAACTGCGTTTTTGAAATTATTGAAAGCTGCTGAGACTCGAGAGTGACCAATGACAGCACTACTTATGGCAATCATCTCATGCCTTGGAAGTGGGGCTTTCTGGAACAAATTTTCATTCACAATAATGATGGCCAGGATAGTGCACATCCAGTGGAAACTCACTTGAAGAACTTTGTTAGCGATACGATTATCAAGCCACTGAGTATTAAAACGATTCTCAGTAAAGTCCGGTTCTTTAAGCATGTCGACAAGATACGAAACTTGCGAAGCAAATGAAGCTCGCAGTTCCAATTCTTGCAGAGCACATAACATCACGGAAACAGCTTCGTGACTTGAAAAAAGTTCTTATATTATTTCACGATATGCCTCAATCCTGTACGAAAGCATGATTATTTACCGAGTGCGACCCCTGGCAAAAAGATGTCCAAACTGAGAGTCTGCAAACTCGTGGACTTTTCCAGCGCTGGACACCGAAAAGTAACCCCAGACGTTCTGGGCGGATCGGAAGTTGAGCACTTCAACAGATCCAGTTGACGGTCGAAAGAAATCTTCCGGGTCCTGGAAAATTTAATGTGACGTGAAATCTGATCTAATCTAACAATAGGTCAAAATAGGATTTGGCCTGCACTATGGAACTAGAAGAGACAACCAAGTGAATAACTCCAAAAAGATACCAATAACAAAGCCTGTAGAAAACAAAGATAGAATCTGGATAAAAAGGAAGTGAGGATTGTAGATGAGGCGAAGTAAACAGGTACGGATGCAGAATTATGACCCCACCTCAGATGTTATTCTGGCAGCGATAACACTATATTCTGTATCAGTAAGTACAAGCTCATCTGGCAAGGGTGTAGTACCGTATCGATCGAGCCCTTGAACAGAGGTACAGTGTACATAAAAGTACTCGATTCATGTGAGACTACCATAGAAGAGACGAATATCGGTTATCCTGTTCAAAGGAAGACCCATGGCGATTTGCATTTGAATTGCAGGAATATTTATGCTGGCCAGCATTTCAGTGCAAGGATGTTCCACCTGCAAAATTTTCAATTTTTTAATAAGCAGATAAACTCTTGAGTAATGACTCACTTGTAGTCTGGGGTTCAATTCTAGGAAAAAGTAGCGGTCTTGATCTGGCAGATACATGTATTCAACAGTACCTGCTGACTCGTACCCCACCAATTTGGCTATTTTGACGGCATCCTAGTATCACAACTTTGTTCTAAAAAATTTCCAAATTTTGCACAAGTACCTCTTGCATTCTACGTAGAGTTTCCTTTGGCGCTATGCTAGCTGGAGCTTCTTCAATGATCTTCTGACACCGCCGTTGGATAGAACAGTCACGTGTAAATACTGGGATAACATTTTCGTATCTGAATGATCACACTAAATTAAATATGAAAGATTACATTTCCCATACAAGTTCTACGGACTCACCTATCAGCAATGAGCTGAACCTCTATGTGTCTTGCATTTTCTACGCATTTCATGATAAATATAGGTGATCCAGGCACCTCAGTTTGCACTTGAACAAAGTTTTCTTTGAAGTCGGCTTCATTCTTGCACTTCCGGATACCTTTACCACCTCCACCCTCCGATGCTTTGATCTAAAAATGATAACTAGTCACAAATGATAGTTTAGAAGTCATAGAGCATCGTTAGTGAGAATTTCACCTAAAGCTAATAAAGAGATAGTGCTGGAGATGATGGAGATGAACGAAATCGTAAGAAAACATTTTGGAAGATTCACCATTAGGGGGTACCCAATTTTGTGGACATCGACAGCTCTCAGGCCCTCATATAGGTCAGATACTATGGCTTGGTTGAAGAGGTCTTGAGTGATCGTAACATGCTCGGCTTCCTTCGTATCATTCAAATTTAACTTCAATCCGCTTCCAGACCATTCAATTGTCGGAATGTCCAAGGTCTGAAATCGAAAACTCAGTTTATTTCGGTCACCTTGACACAGCTGGGCGAAGGGTGTTCTTTGGTCAACCCGAAAATTGAACTAAGAATCTTCATTTGCGCCTTCAAAACAAGACCATAGTCAACAATTTGCACACCTGAGCGATGATGGTTGAGGCGATTTTGTCTCCTAAAGAGAACATAGCACTGGCCGGTGGTCCAATGAATACGATGCCACGTGCAGCCAATTGTTTTGGAAGCTCCGGATTTTCCGAAGCATGGCCCCAACCAGCCCAGACAGCGTCCACCTTCAAAAGAACATTTTTCGAACCAAAAAAAAACATAAACTACACTAGTCATACCCCCTTCTCAACCGCATGATTGACAATTTCTTCAACATTAGCGTAGTTGTTTCTGTTATCTCCACCAGGAGAAAACACGAAGTGATCGGCGAGTTTCAGATACTCTATAAAGTAATTGTGAGAGCCTTAGGTACACCTCAACATACAAAATCATCTGACTGCCAATAGTTTTAACCCGATTTAGTCTGCCCTAAGTAGGATTCAAGTCTCGAAGTCATATGAATGAATTAGAAGCAATATTGAGGACACGATCGAATAAACAATAATCGCCAAATTTACGACAAGTTCTTACATAATCGCCATTAGTAACCAATGAAACATGTTCTGTCAAAAGAAAATCGATCCACTATAGAGGGCAAAGTACATTCGAGAAAAAAAAGGAGGGTTGGCCATTTGACTAAAGTGCGTACCAAAGTAGGGCAGAGTATAAAATACAAACAGTCAAGTTCAACAGTACACAAGGAGTGGGTGAAAAGCAGAAATTAAAGGCTGCTCCAGAAATTCTACTTAAGGTCTTAGCTCCACCGTGTTGATTGATCTGGTGCAAGCCTAGCCTATAAGTCCTAAAAAATTTGGAAAGACACTCCAACGATGTATGGAACCTGGATCGCAGTGGTAGTTAACAACAATTCTTTGAAACAAGAAAAAGAAACAAACCGAGTCTAAGGCAAATATATGACTTATACATGTAGTTGTTTACCTACAAAAAAAAAGCCAAAACAAGGGGAAATCATTCTGACATTATTTTAAATAAAAACCTTGTTAGGCATTTGGTCAAAAGGTGCTGAAAAGAAGCGCTGCAAACATATTGCAGACACTTCACGACACTCACTCCTCATCAAAATAAGCAAATAGTGCATGCAAGAATGAAATCAAGCGTGTGGGGACAGAGAAATAATAAAGTTGAAAACCAAGGATAAAGAAAATTAACTGGAAAAAAAGAATTTGTATAGCAAAAGAACTGATTCTCACCAGCATTTGACCGAATTTCTTGTTCTGTTGTCAAACAAATGAACTTAATGATGCGATCATTGCGAAAAAGTTGCATGAGCAACTTCCGAATAGAAAGAATGCAACGAACAGCAGCAATACCATTTGTAGCAACCAGCATCTGAAACAAAAAATAAAATAAAATAGAATGTTGCAGATTGACCCAAACAATCTCAAAGGTCTCAATTGCAAAAACCAACCTTTTTGATGGGCCGGCGTTTGCTGGAGTCCTCAACATAGGTATTAACGAAATCTTCAACTGTTTTGAATACCATATCACCTTGATCGAGTTTATCCTAGACAAAAGTTAATGGGCAAGGATTTGTGGAAGCATAAGCAGACTTCAGGTCGACTCCTACTATACTCTACTACTCATGAGTGATAGAAGAGATGTATGCAATCGTTCACCTTGAGGGAGCCACCTTGGTAGTGGCTCATGTGAATGGTCCTTCGCTCTGGTCCACTCATATTGCTATGAGCCACACAGCCACTATCGTTCCTGTAAAGTATATTAGCTTTGCCATCACTAACTGAGATTCTACTGAACATCTAGGATACTGGGGAAGAGAAAGAGCGGCAACGATAACGGCGCATGAGGAGACCTCAAATATCTCACACCACCGACTGTTGATAAGCGGCGAAACCGGGCGAACGTTTTTGACGTAATCGACATTTCTGCTTGGATAAGACATTGATATAATCGGAAAAGATTAATCAGTGTAAAAATTTATCCATAAATTGTGAAAAATGATGGCTTGACACAACGCAAAACATTCTCTCTATATGCCAAACACGAAACTATTTGAGTATTATGTACGGGTTCAAATGTAGTTTCTGTTCTGATTATGAACTTAAGACAGAAAACAAATATCGGTCAGAAACCTTTTTCTCGTTCTACAAAAGCGAATCGATAGGCCAGAATTTCTCATAAAGACGTCATGTATGGGCAAAAGATTCAATAGATAAAGCGATTGCAGAGAGGTCGTATGATGAAGACGCTTTGCCTAACAAAAAGGCGAATCATACCATCATCGACAACAAACTTTCGAATACGTCATGTCATGCAAAGTTCGTGGGGTTAAATGGTCAAGAGAAGGTAGCTGTCGAACAGACGACCTTCAACGGTGACTCGCGGGAGCGCAGCCAGCGAAAGTGCGTCCGTTGGTGGTGGGCGGCTGCGCTACTCCTAGATGAAACGATAGCAGCGAAGGAGGGTCATCGAGTCAGGCATTCACACATCGAAAAGTTGTCATTGTTTACAGTGACCTATATGCCTTTGTACGATAACTTCTTCGCAAACGCACAACCAGAAAAGAAACAACTTCCGAAAAACTGCAATTGAATTGTGGAGCACATCCATGGCCGCAGGATTCAAATCAAAAACGCCGGCAGATTTCCACCAACGACAATACATCTATGTCTCGCGAAAGTTTGTTTGAGAAGCACGCCTTCCCTTTCAGTTTCCAAACTCTGAGATAATGAAATATCCCGTGAGACCTGGAGGTGACCTGATCCGCAGTTGATTTCATCACGGGACGCACACTTATAAATATCATCTTAATCTTCGTTCTTGTAACAAAACTAGAAGCCCAAGCACAATCACGATAGTGATGAACGCTTGTTATTAGGGATAACAAATCTGTAACTCCTCTAATTTGGTCGACAAACACTATGAGTGTAAAACCTTATATGATTCATAGTAAAGCCCATATCCCAACTTTATCACCACTAAACGGGCAAAATTCACAGGTTCACGCAGACCATCATCACGCAAAAACAGCCATCGAAATCCTTTCTCTGAAATAAAATCGCAGAATGATAAATTTTCCAAGAGAAATGATAGCCACGTTGGGAATGTCTTGTGGGTGAGATGTAAAGAAGTGGAGTGAATCAATGTCTTGGCGGGACTTAGGTCAGCACGCATGTTAAAATAAATCCTTATACTCAACTGGAAATCTGTGACCTCCCTGTCAAAGCCACAGGCAACAAAAGTTTACTCAAAACGATAAGGAGCTCAAGATGACTGACTTCACACATCTTTGCTAGTACATGGGGACTCGACAGCGCAGACCTCTGTCATTGTCGTAGTCAAACTAATTTGTGATTGGGTGCCTTAGGCATGATTAGAATAGAGGAGACTGTACCTACAAGATCAATGGTCACCAGTATGCCGTTACGTTGCCGTTGCATGCAGATTCAATAGAGAAAAATGCATGCAACATTCTACACACAGTGATAGAAGAAACTAATAAGAAACTCAAGCTGCATCGGAAAGAATGGAGAAATAAAAGATAGCTTCAAGACCCTTTTAGAAACTTCAAAGATCTTGCCCGATGGGA